CGAAACAGTGTTGATAAGGTATCAAGAGGTATTTCCAGATATATTACTCAAAAGAACCGGCACAATACGCCTAATCGATTTGAATTGAAAAAATTCTGCCCCTATTGTTACAAACATACGATTCATGGGGAGATAAAGAAATAGAGCGAACCAAGTACCTGTGTCTTACCCTTTCAAGGAAGGGGAAAAAATGACATTATATATATAACATATTTAAATAGAAAATAAACAAATCCTATTTTTGAAAAATCCTATTTTGAGTGGATTTAAAATGAATTAGAATGAAGAAATAGGATTTTAGGGATAAGGAATAAATTAAACAAACAAACCATGGATAAATCCAAGCGACCTTTTCTTAAATTCAAGCGATCTTTTCGTAGGCGTTTGCCCCCGATTCAATCGGGGGATCGAATTGATTATAGAAACATGAGTTTAATTAGTCGATTTATTAGTGAACAAGGAAAAATATTATCAAGACGTGTGAATAGATTGACCTTGAAACAACAACGATTAATTACTCTTGCTATAAAACAAGCTCGTATTTTATCTTTGTTACCTTTTCTCAATAATGAGAAACAATTTGAAAGAACCGAGTCGACCGCTAGAACTACTGGTTTTAAAGCCCGAAATAAATAGGCTTACTTTTTCTTCACTTGAATCATAATTACAAGAATCTAGATTTGAGTGAATCTAGATTTGAGTGAATCTAGATTTGAGTGAATCTAGATTTGAGTATCGTGTCGTAAGAAAAAATGAATCGGAAAAAAAGAAATCTGTTTTTATTGAATTGAACGTGTTCATTCATTTTGACTACTTTAGTATATTTTCTCATACTAATTTCTACTCTACCTTCCCGGAGTTCATTCTCCGGGTAACTCCATTTAAATTATTCTGGTGGATTCTTTCCAATCTACTTCCTTTATGATTTCGTTCGAAATCATATAAAGACAATTCCTATTTGATATAGCTATTTGTGCAAGTATTTTACGGTTAAGAAGCAACTGTCTCTTGTACAGATCGTGTATTAATCTACTATAACTATAGGATACTCCCCTTTCGCGAATTACTGCGTTTAGCCTAGTGATCCACAAACGACGAAAATCTCTCTTTTTCCTATCCCTATCCCGATGAGCCGAAACTAAAGCTCTTATTTTCTGTTGAGTAATAGTTCTAGTAAGCCTTGAATGAGCCCCTCGAAAGCTTGATGCAAATAAACGAATTTTTGTTCTACGTCTCCGAGCTATATATCCCCGTTTAATTCTGGTCATTGAATAAATGAAACTTTGACGAATAACTAATTGATTGCCTTTCTTTCAGTTATTCTTTTCCCCCTTCCTAGTCTATTAATAACAAAACGAATTTTTCCAATGTATAAAATCAAAATTCCAATGGCTTTGGCTACTCTAACCTTCCCGACCACGATTTTTTTTTTAGGTATTTCACTGCGAAATAAGACAGAACTAAGAAATTGTATTTTCCTAGGTATCAAAAATATAGTAAATAAAAGAAATAAAAAAAGAAATAGTGGGTTCCTTCGTTTCTATGGTTACTTCTTAAACGGTGAGGTCTTCTCTATACACCGGAGCCTTTACTTTATACTTTAATTTACTATTTAATCAACTAATTGATGTTATTGGGAACTTGTATAGTTCACACGCTTTGGCTCTACCCATGAATTATCCAGTAATAGGTCTTTCACAATCAGATCTACCTATACAGTAACGGTATTTAATTATGAAAGTTTGCTGGGTAGCTGACCCTCTTAGTCCGTTTAAATAAGATTTCCTCCGCTTAATGGATAACCATTTGTTACCAATGGAGAATTTCTTATCATCTTAAATTCAGGTGATTGGATTTACACCAACGGAAACCATAAACTTCATACACAATAGAGGGATATGGTAGAGTTTTTTTTTTTTAATAATGGATGGAGTTCCTTTTTCCATCCTATCCCATTCACCGGTACTGATCATTGATACTGTAAAAGTAGTTTTCTTGCTTTTGTGCCAGCTCATGATCTAAACGAGTCGCACATACACCCTAGTACATGTTCCTCGACGCTGAGGGCACCCCCGAAGAGCGGGGGATTTCGTGACATTTCTGATTGGCTGTCTTGTATTTCTAATAAGTTGTTTAATAGTTGGCATGTTGAATCGTATACATAATATGATGGGTTGGTTTAGATTGATCCTAACCGAATGATGGTGAATTACTTCTATTTAATAGAATATTCAATTCGAAGATAAAATCTCAAATCACAGATTTGCGCGAAATCCATGTTATTTTCCTTGAACCGCTACAAAATCAACAATTCCATAAGCTTGGGCTTCTGTTGCTGACATAAAAATATCTCTTTCCATATCTTCGTGTACAACCCAGAAGGGTTTGCCCGTTCTTTCTGCATAAACCCTTGTGAGGGTTTCACGCAGTTTCATCAGTTCTACCGCTTCCATGACAAATTCGCCTACTTGTGCCATATAAAAAGCACTATAAGGTTCATGTATCATTACCCTGATGATATAACAAAATAAAAGCTTCCCCTATCTCGCATGATAAAGCAAAGAGAAAAGAAAGATAAAGAATAGAAAAAAGATAGAATTGAACAACCGTACAGGCATCTTTTGTGCATACGGCTCTACAAGAAAATTGACCCCCCTCCTTTCTATTGAAGAAAGAGAAAATAGAATCTATCAGACTCAGATGGGTAAATAATCAAATTGCCATCCTTCCTTTCGGAGGAGTTCAAAAATACTATGATGGCTCCGTTGCTTTATATGTTTATTTTTTCTTTTTTTTGTCTGTGATTCAGCAATCCCAAAGTTTCTTTTTAATCCGATCAAATAAGGAAAAAATCTTTTTTTTTTCGTACTCTTTCATAACATAAATATTGTTAAGAACTCTCCGGCATGAAAACAAATAAGTTTGTGACGCTGAACTGAATTCCCGATAGATAAGAGAAAATCGGAAATACCCCTTATCTCATACTACTCTCTCGATACAGAATCTAATGTTTTGAAAAAAATACAAAAATTTCTCATATCGAATTCGAAGTGCCATGCTATTATTACTTAGTATTCATATGGCGAAGGCATAGTCTTCTTTTTTCTCTCAAATAAAAACCTCATTGGCGCCAAGCGTGAGGGAATGCTATACGTTTGGTAAGTTGTCCTCCGGCCAGGATAAAAGATCCCATTGAAGCAGCTAATCCTATGCATATTGTATGGATATCTGGTCGCACAAATTGCATAGTATCATAAATGGCGATCCCAGGTATTACCCAGCCCCCAGGAGAGTTTACAAACAAATATAGCTCTTTGTTCTCATCCTCCATACTGAGATACATCATAAGACCAATAAGTTGATTCGAAAGATCGGTACTAATCCCTTGGCCTAAAAAAAGTAATCTTTCTCGATAAAGTCGGTTGATTAGGGTAAAATTGTATCCCTTAGGAACCGTACATGCGCCTTTTGATGCATACGGTTCAAAAAAATTGTGAATCAATGTATAGATTCCAGTCCTCTTTCTTTTTTTCTACAAGGGCTCTTTCTTACTTCTAACGAAAGGGCTTTTCTTCGATTTTTCAATAAAGACGAGTTTTTACTCCTTTTTGATATTTTCGATTTTCCATTATAAAATTCGAAGTTATAAGAAAGGGTCATTAAACTTATCGAATTAACTTCTCATTGATGTATTCTTTCATCGAGATTTAATCCAAACCGCGATGGTATTTTCTTGTTCCTGAATGGGTCTGTTTCATCTTTTTAGGTTTATGCTCTACTCCGGGTAAAGATCCGCCCGATTTGGATTTGTACATATAGGACAAATGCTCCCATTACCATTTCTTTTTGTATTTCTTTTTTTTTGCAATTCATTTTATACAAGTAGTTATTAGAGTTGAGATAACTTTGCTTGACAATTAGGATCTCTTTACAAAGAAAAAATATGAATAGCAATCATAGATATCTTACCAATCCAATTGGGTTTTTTCTAAACGGAGCCTGGATACTTCATTTATTTAGTCCAACCAAGCCAACCATAAATTATTCTAATTGATAATAGTAATATGAATCCCCTCAAAAATGGATCTAATTGCACTTCACGCTCCAAATTTTTGATGATTCAATTTATCTTTCTTGGGCGAAACGGGGGATATCTCGATCGGGGGAGAGAACGGGGAAATACCATATGACCCAATATATCTGACAAGTCGCACTATACGTCAACCCAAGATGAAATTGGATCTCCAGGATTTCGGAATAGAACTTTTGGAACACCAATAGGCATTAAATGAAAGAACGAATTAAATACTATATTTCACTTTGAGGTGGAAACGTAACAATTTTTTTTTTTATTGTCTTTATAATATTCATATTGGTTTTTATCGTATTTATTTTATCCATAGATTCTCAAAATTCATAAAGAAAGACAGAATGAATAAACTCAAATTATTACGAATAGGTCTTTCTAATGATAAATAAGTATGGACTCATTCGCTCATAGAAAATGGGATCAACTCCCCCATTGCGTATTGGTACTTATCGAGTATAGAATAAATCTGCTTCTCTTTGTTCCTACGAACAGAATTGTTCCATTATTACCAACAGAATAGAAACCCTTGTTCGGAAATAATTGACTCAACAAGAGTGGTCCATAGGATAGTCATATTATAGTCTTTTCCAATGCAATAAAGTTACGTAGTGTTCATTTATCTTTGATATAAGGGGTATTTCCATGGGTTTGCCTTGGTATCGTGTTCATACCGTTGTATTGAATGATCCCGGTCGGTTGCTTTCTGTTCATATAATGCATACAGCTCTGGTTGCTGGTTGGGCCGGTTCGATGGCTCTGTATGAATTAGCGGTTTTTGATCCTTCTGATCCTGTTCTTGATCCAATGTGGAGACAGGGTATGTTCGTTATACCCTTCATGACTCGTTTAGGAATAACCAATTCATGGGGCGGTTGGAGTATCACAGGGGGGACTGTAACGAATCCAGGTA